TGTAAGTATGGTTATTACACACTCATAAATCAGCTCCCCAGTGAAAAATAAAGTTAATGCTTAATATTTTTAATTTAATTTTAATTTTCTTTCCAAAATATATACGGTAACGACATTGTGATGAGACAACCAAATCAAAAAGATTAAGGAAAAAAAGGCAAAAAAGGAAATGACATATTCTGTTTCTGCCTTGCAATGCCTAAAGTAAAACAATAAATGAAACAGAATTCCTCATATTTACATAAAATGCAAGCAACACTGAACATTTCCTCTTGAAAGAGGCACTCTTCAGGTACTCCATCAGTAAATACTTACTGAAGGAATGAGATTATGGATTACTTGCATTATGGATGTTTTGCAAGTTTCCTGTCCCTGAGCAGCTTTTCTTTTCATGATACCGCTCTCGTAATTCTGAACGAAAAGGAAGTTACAGACCACAGCAGAACACAACAACTCTTCTACAAGTGGTTATGAAAAGGCAGCAAATGAGAAAGGCTCTTTAGATTACTTATCTTACTGTTTCTTATCTTACTCTTTCAAAATCTACCACACTATATTCACATAATAGGATTTAAATCAACAAATAAGGTAAAAACTCACCTAACCAATTGAACATGCTATCTCCTTTTACAGCCAATGCGGGAAAGGAAGAAAGTTAAAGAGTATTAGCTATCTCATTCTAAAGTAGATACCTAAAATAAAGCAGATGAATCACTTCCCAAAAGATTCCTGTTTCTCAACATTAGCTATAACTTGAGCTTAAAATGACTACCTCAGAACGCAGACCACTACACTGCAGAAAGCTAAAATTAGCTGACATAAGACTGACTGCCCATCAGAAGTCTTCTCATCTTGTGACTGAACTACCTGCAACAATCAAAAATGACAGAATGTGAGAAAAGAAAGGCAGTTTGAGAAATAAGGCTGAAGGTACTTGGACTGCAAAGAAACTTTATTATTAATACTTCGCAAAAACTAGATTCTAATTTTTCTCTCAAGGGAATACTCTCAAATTAGGCAGAAAATAGATTTTTT